GCAACAGAGAAATAAAAAAGATATGAGTACTGGGAGAAAAAAAAAGACAACAGACAGATCATAACAAAACAAGAGGAGGAGGAAGATATTGACATGGGGACGCACGCAGTTAGACAACAATATGGGATACGGGAAAGAACAGCTTAATTCTTCCGAAGCCAGTGCGTTTTTTCAAGTCTGAGCTTGGCTCGTGTGCTGTAAACGTAACAGAATGTATTTGGTGCTTGGCGAGGCAGGTTAATAGATCTACACTTATTCTATCAAATAAAGTATATCATAATGTTAAACTTTGTTTTAGTAAGTGTGTTACGGCACTTGTACAATCAATAATGCCCATGATCAGAGGTGTTACAATTAAGAGAATAACTAACACAAGAACAGAAGGAGAGATAAGGACAACAGGTGTTTGATATGAAAGAAGGAGCAAACCACACTAGAGCATCCGCCAACCACCCACATATTATTATGTTTTATATCAAAATAATGGCAAAGAATAAGCTACAAAATATTTAGCAAGACATATCAGTCGTAGTTAGCATGAAACAGTCTCACGCCTGGTAGGAGAAAGGAAACAGAGGACTGAACACAGAACGCCGCATCAACAAGATAAGATTATTGTAACTAAGCTCTGAGAGGGTTTCTTTAAAAACGTTATTCGCATTGAAGTTACGGAAATATCCATGTTCGCCTTCTTTGTAAAAAAACAGTAAGATAATAGCTCTTCTAGCATATACAACGTCCTTCTAGAATATTCGACAACTGCCGTTTTATTATCGCTCGCGCAAGTAAAATCCAGTTGAGGACAAGCGACAACATGATGTGTGAAACGAAATACAAATCGTTGGGTGTTTTTTTATAGGGTAAATAATGTGTGAAGTTGCGTGTTGTGTCACACAGATATGAATGACATGTTGTCAGAACGAAATGGTACACCCCTGTTAGGGTATCACTTAACTCTTGCAGTGTCATACAGCAATATAAAATATATTGGGGTTTTTTTTTCTTTTTCGTTTTTTTCCCCACCCATAGACTTGAAATATGTCTTAGATATGGCACTGTCATGGCCGCCATTCTTTGTTCTCTATAAAAAATAATGTTTGCTGTGAAGCATGTGCACCAGCAAGCGCACCGTAAGCGCCCAAATGAAATTTATAACAACACTCTCGCTTTAGTCAACTTAGAGAGTATAATTAGGCCTATAGACTCTCTGGTCAAGAACATACGTGACAGTTGTAGACCAGCTGAAAGTAAATAATTCAAGTGCGTACTGGATTCGAGATTTTCTGCCAAAAGCACGCGAGATTGTCAAGACTGATGACATCTCTTCGTTGAAAATGGTGAAATTTTAAAGGTTTAGCGGTTGTTTAAGAGCGGGGCCTCCAAGTTTAACGTCCATATCCGAAAGGACGGAGCCAAATGGGAAATGTAAAATTTCTTTCCCAAGAACACAACGTCGGACCGAGCTGACGCTCAAACCCTCGAACCTGCCATCTCATGATTAGGGATCCGGTACCCTAACCACTAGGCCAGCGACGACACATTGCTTCCTTGTCACTGTTGTTGTTATTGTTGTTGCTGCTGCTGCTCCTGTTGTTGTTGTTGTTGTGGTTGTTTGTTGTTATTGTTGTTGTTTTCGTTTTAATTGTTGTTTTGTGTCGTTATTATTGCTGTATGCAACTGTATGTGCGCGCGCGAGCGTATATGTCCCTGTAAAAGAGAGAGAAAGAGGGAGAGAGAGCGAGAGCAAGAGAGAAAGAGAGAGAGAGAGAGAGAGAGAGAGAGAGAGAGAGAGAGAGAGAGAGAGAGAGAGAGAGAGAGAGAGAGAGAGAGAGAGAGAGAGAGAGAGAGAGAGAGGGGGAGGGGGGGGGGGGGGTAAGGGAAGGCCGGATCTCAATCTTCGTCGGTGAAGAGGGTATCAAAATCAAATCGAGACAAAAATATAAAAGTGCACGAAGCCTTCACGCTTGCTGGTCTTCCAGCGACCGGTGCTCTCCAAAATTGAAGAGGATTTATTTTTCTTATCTCAATAACAACGTAAATAATGCTATCGTTGCCGTTTCGATATACATGCCTAATCCTTACCCTTTTGAACATGTTCTGTTTTTCTATCACAGCGCATTATATAGATACATTTATTATGTTTAATACTTAACATGGTAGAAGCTACATTAAAACTTGGCTTTTATCAAGGAATAGCCCACTTGGTTGAAAAAAATTAATAAATGCAAAATGGAAAAAAAATAGGAAGGTAATTCAAATACCCTGATAAACTTTATGAATTCAACTGAACAAAAACTTATGACACTAGCTCAAAGTTTACTTAGTTGCTATTTCTATTGACTAAGGTGAGGGCGACTTTGGTTCCAATACTCAAAGGGGTGTGAATGAACACAAGCATTTGGTGAATCGTTATGGCTCTCCGCCTAATTGGCCCAGTCCTATCAAAGAAGGGTATTGTACCAAAAGTCTCACCTCTTTTACCCATTTCAAAGTGACTATAAACCCATACCATATCCATTCAGCAAGTCGAAGACCATAATACTAATACTACAATGTACCGTTCACAGCGACCAACTCTGTGTCAAACCATGTAACGTACACATTACGATACTCCAAATAACAGGGTCATTAGCAAATCAAAAACCGTTTGAAGCAAGAGATATTATTTCCCCACAAGAGCCAGTTTCCCCCGAGAGGGTGTGTAACCCAATAGCCCACAAACCACGGTTTAAAAAAAACCCGGTCGAGCACTTGATAGGTGGAAAAAATTTCAATCAATAAATCAATCATTTTGGATACAAGAGTTCCCCGATCAAGAAAAAAAAACCTCACCTACACTTTTTTTTAAAAAACCATGGCATGAAGACCACGTAGCTTATAAGACTTATAATCCCCA